CGATCTACACTATTTTTTAAGCTTTAAACTTTATAAATAAAGATGAAAATATATTTTAAGGCTATCACAAATATTTTCAGTATTGAAACTACTTTTCTCGACACTATTTGAAGGTAGGCTCTAGTTTGATTGTTTAGAGCCTAGGCTCTATAGAAACCGCACCCTTTAAGTAATGTCCAAAGGCTAGTGATCAAAAGTTGCATCTAGGAACATGAGGGCATCATGGGCATGTTGGAGATGGCAGATATGAGGACATCCGCATATTGGAATGTGATCAAAAGTTACCTCTAGGAGTATGAGGGCATCCGCATATTGGAGATGGCAGATATGAGGACATCTAGGATTGATGAATAAAAACCTTAAAATACGCTGAAGTATTTTACAAATTACATGCTTTTTTGACATCTGATTTTTTAGGTAATGGAACCTGTTCGGAGTCTATTTTTTTGACAAGTCAATATTTATTGTTGTGCGACCAATACTAGGCAAATAAAATTAGCTTTTGTTCTTCTTTGGAAGGGGAGGTAGAGGGGTGATGAGAGGAAGAGATGAGGCCAAAATCAAAATTCATTGTTGAACAACAAAATGGGCATATATGGAACCAAATTAGCTTTTGATGTTTTATAGAAGAGCGAAACAATTCTGTAGCATCAGAAAATCAACTCACTCGTATTTCCAAGTTGGTTTTTAAAAACTTCCAAGTTTTTCAGGTGTGTTTTAAGTCATGTATCCAAACTGGCCCTTGGTTGTTAAATTAGCATTTGAAAAGTGAAATGTGTACATGTGCAACTACTGATCCATAAAACATTATGAGTTCTTTCTTACCCGTGCCATCTAAACTCGTGCTTATATATGTGCTTCCTGTTTTGGTGCTATAAGTGGCCAACTGTGCAGTCTTGCGGATGAAACTTGAAGGAGCTGTTTTGTACCGCACTTTTCTCTGTGGTTAGCTTCAAGGGTCTGTCAACTACGTGTGGAAAGACATGACATATCCTTGATTTGGCCATTTCATAAAAAAAGGTGTTTCGTTTCTGCCGTGGATGAGCCCATGCAGACACTTTGCAGCACATATCTGCGCAGGCGCATAGAACCTGTGTAAATGAACTCTGACTTTTTTTGTTTTTGTCTACAATATTTCCCCCATTGAATGTTCATACTCTTCCCGTGGACATCTCGTGAACCATTTTCTTTTAGACATCTCAAGCAGCATTGCCTTGGTTGTGAACTAGAAAATACCACTCCTATAGGTGTGTCAAAGTTATTTGGTTAAGTTAATTAATTACTAAGAGAGAGAGAGAGAGAGAGAGAGAGAGAGAGAGATGGCATTATCTTTGGAAGATCTTTAGATTGTGTATTGATTTGCTCCAGAAGAGATGCAGGTGAGGATGAAGCTCGTCAAAGACTGGCTTCCAGTGCTCATAGTTTGCAAGGACAATGCGACCCCAATACCATCAGGCCAGAAATCGCTTTACCTAGAGCTCGAGGAGACCTTCCTAAGAATCATCTCGACTCTCCCCATGTCCCATGCGCAAGAATTGCTGCAACAGTGCCTCACCTTCTCGACTCGCAACGTTGAAGAGTGTCCCCACCTTGTTTCCGCCTTTGACACATGGTTCCGCCGTGCAGCCCGTGCACCTCCTTCTGATGCCGGGGTGTGATGTTTGGTGTTGTTCGACAGTAACTGATTGCTGATGTATATAGTGTTTGGTTGTGTTTTTGAGGTTTTAGTTAGAGAAAAGGAAAGCGGCCTTGTATGACACATGAGAGCCAGCTTAGCAATTTGTAAAAAGTTCTCTGACCTTCTTGTATCATAAACGTTCATCTTTTATTTAACAGTTTGTGATTGGAACAACCTGGGTCTTTTGTGTTGGGGAAAAAACGTTTTGTATTAATAAAAGGTATATCTTGTAATATTTTTTCTGGATCATCGATCTGTACCAGCTTTAGAACTCCAAATTTCACTGGCAATGGATTTATAAGCTATCCTGTTGTTTCACTGTACTTAAAAGTTTTTGGAAACACCAAATTCCACATGAATGGAAGGGAATTTGCATGAAGTAATGGTGTTTTGTGGCATCATATATGTGTTTACGATGCATAATTTCCTCCTCATCTATCTTGAGTGTGCGATATTAAGAAGCATGTCGTATCTAACAAGCTGGAAGATACTATACACTCCCAGGGTATTATACTGCCCACTTACTCCATTAGGTAAGGCGAATGTAAAATCAACTTTAGGACCCCAAATTTTGGGGGTTTAACTTCTTCGAGTCGCGAACTAATTTTAATTTTAAAAAAATCCTAATTGGAATATCGAAGCACTTTAAAAAAATACTGAAGGTTTAATATAGACGGATCAATTAAAAATCCTAATTGCAAAAAAGAAAATGCTGACGATTGAATATAGACGGTTCAATTTTTATAGTTACAAATTCAAAATTTTCTCTTGAGAATTATTGTTAGTTATTCTTATGTAGTTCATAAAATATATTTAAGAAAAATTGCTTAATTTTGTCGATCTAGTTCTACTTATTAAACCACCATTTAATCATTTTCATCGTCAATTTTTTTTTTTAATTAATTAAAATCGACTATATGAGTCTGAATCCGTTATTCTGTTTTATTAAGAGTTATTAAAATATATAAACCTTCATATCTTTTTTCGTTACTTTCAATCGTATCCTTTCAAATCTATCTTTCTGTCTTTTTTTTTAGCGTTTCACTTGAATTAACTCGCACTCGCACTCCCAAACAATGTGGTAGTGGGTCTGCACCACATATGACGAGCCCCCCACCTAAAGTCTACCCTTTCTTATCTTATCATTTAGTGCCTCACCTAAATTTTTTAAGCCATTCGTTAATACTAGTTAATTATCAGTTACGACTTATTTTCACTCGAATACGGTTTTTGCTTTAGAAATATCACTTACGACTGATTTTCGCTCGAACACAGTTTTTGCTTTAGACTAAAGTCCACGATGCAAATGGTTGGACTGGATTCCAAAATCCTTTAATTTTATTTAGGTAATCAATTATTGCCCTCCTAAGAGAGAGACGTAATTGAACTCAAAAATCACGAAATGATGCTCAAGAACAAATAAACCCATTTTTTATCAGAGAGAGAGAGAGAGAAAGAGAGAGAGAGAGAGACATTCTAATTCAGCCACAAAAACTTCATTGAATCGATAAAGAAATTATTAAAACTCATGTACACAAAAAAAATGTGGTGTTTCCATCGAGAATTTGAAAGAAGAAGAAGAGCCAACAGAGGAGTGAGTCGTTTCACCAACCCTGAACTGGCCATCTCCTATCAGGATCAGGCCTCCATGACCACTTTCTCTTCTCTTTCTCTCTCTTCTCCTTCACAACCGAAACTTCCTCACACTGCTTTACCTCTCCCCTACCAAAACTCGAAAAGAAACGGCTCAGAAATGAGGTTGAAGACGGTTTCCTGTGACTGCTTCTGATTTCTCCTACTTCGAATTTCATTGATTTTGAGAGCCTCTCGTAGCTGGTAAACCTTGCACACTCTGAAGGGATTGATTCAGATAATAGGATAAGGCTCTTTGATTTACCCTTTCTAGAGGTGGATCTCTCTACGCTCAAGCTTCTGCACCTCATCTCCTCCATTTTTTTTCTCTCTCTAAAATTTTCTCTCTCTTAGTTTCTGGGACTTGAGAAACAGTAAGGCCTACTTCTCAATTCTATGCACCCACGCGTACAGATCATCCGACCCTTTTTAAAAAAATAATTTTTTTATCTTCATGAAGGGTCCGGTTTTGTACAAGGCCTCCTCCTCATACTATAGAAATAAGGCACACTTCTAAAATTTGTTTAGAGGTATAATTTTAAGTACTTATAAAATTTGTTCAAAAATGATGGTTTTACAATTCTATTTTCAAATCTAATTAAAAAATTTTAAATTATAAAAATAATACAAATCTAGCACATATATAATACTTGAAGATAGATCGTTTATATAAGTTGATAGTACTATTTTTATGACTTAAATTTCATGTTCATATATTTTAAAATATAGATGATCAATTGCATGGACTTCTAACTTCAAAACACTATCTTCTAGAGGAATTTTGAGGTGCATGTTGCTTATAAAGTTGAACCTTACTTTCCTTTTTTAAAAAGAGGGAGAATTTTTTCTATGCATACTCTAGTGCAAGCATGTTGTACAATGGCTCTCCCAACCAAAAAGAAAAGAAAAAGAAAGAAGTAAATAATGTTTTGATGTTAATTTTGGAATACATCTAAAAATTTATTATTTTTTAAATATTCGGAAATAAATTTTGAGTTCCTCGACAATTAAAACTTGCCCGACAAAATTGGAGGCATGTTCAAATTTGGGATATTATTTTATCCCAAATAAGTATACAATGAGATCAATTTTTTTTTTTTTACAAGGTGGTCGCAATTAATCTTGATAATTACATGTGAAATTGGATGAATGCATTTATTCTATCCACCACGCTCACATTTCAAAATAATTTTTTCAAAGTTTTTAACACTCCAAGCTATCAAATTTTACATTGGATGGTTATAAGTACTTGTGACCTCCTTGTATCACATGGGATTCTATTTATTTATTTTTGTTGAGGTTGGTCGTTTCGTCTCCATTTTGAAGGCCTATGGGAAATTGTTTGCTTGATTTGGATCCGCAGGAGCAAATAGACATTATATTTCTGCGGGAGCAATAAATCATTTCACGCTTTTTCATACAATTACGACTTTGAAGGTGCCGTCAACGACTTACACACGTCCGTAATTAATGGTGCCGCATCTCATTCGATTGATGCATGCATGTGCTCAGCATGATCAAAGCCCAAATTTTGAGATGATTTTTCTTTTTCTCAATTGTTCATTTGCCATATTATTTGGCTGAATTTTCCTTATTCTACCTTCCTAACACCCCTGATTTTTAAGGATTATGTATTGCTGGTAACCGACCCGGACCCGGGTGGTCAAAAAATTTATACCCATCGGGTCGGGCTAGGTTCGACCCGGCCCAACCGAATGGTGTTATGATTTAAACAATATTTATTATATAGTATTTGAATAACTTTTATTTAAATATCTATATATTTTTAATTATAATATTTAAATAAAGAAAAAATTTATATAAGAATGGAACCTTAAAATGTTGAATCACATATGCACTTCAAAAATCTATTGGAAATATTGTTTTAATGTTGAAAAACCCTCTAATCAATCATCTCGACATCGAGATGTATGAATATGTAAACAAAAGTTTTTGAGTCATGAAAATAGTGCATCTTGCAACGCATTATCTAGACCGTCCATTTTCAAGATTTTCATATATTTATAGATCTACTTGATCTTAACCATTTATAAAATTTAAAATTTTCTAATTAGGTATGAAAATATATTTTAAGATATTATTAAGAATTTTTGCAACAAAATTACATGTTATGATAAAATTTTAAGGAACGCCTTAATTGGATTGTTTAAGGTTACAACCTTATAGAGACTGCACCCTTTAAATAATACATGTACATATTTAATATAAGGAAAATTGCTTCATGCGAGCTGGATTGCATGACTAATAGGCGGTCCAAAAAGTGTAAAGCATCCATCTTAAAGATTGATGCAAGTATGTGTTCCATCTAAAAAACAATGGAAACTAACGGTCAAAATGTTTTATTACTAAAATTATTATTTTTAGTTTTTAATTTTATTTATTTATTCCATAACATTTTAGAGATTACATATCCTTAAAAAATAAGTCAAAAAATCCATCACAAAAATAAAATTATCAATAGGCTTGCATTTCGACATATGCGGCCTTGGCCACATAGAAACCGGGTCCTTAATATAATATTTAAATATATTAAAATATATTTTATTTATTTATTTTTTATTTGAGTCCAATCGGATCTAGGTCCGGACTTGGATCCGTTGCCACCCTTTCTTGGTGCATTTTTAGCAGTACCACGGCGCACGATATTTGGTAAAGCGTCATCTTAATATCCTATTCGAAAATGTAGTTTTAGCTTAAAAAAAATTGATATATTGCAAATGTATTTCCATCCGTGTTATGAAATTTGAAGTTCAAAAAATAAAAAATATTATGTGGGCACTTGCCCAAAAATTAAGGAAAATTTATCAAAATGTCTATAAGAGATGACCTATTTAACTGTTTACCATTCGCAACTATTAAAAAACTATGTGTTTTTATGGGTATTTTGAAACTAAAATAGGAAATATTAATAAAGTGCTAAACTATTTATCTCTCATGAGTAATTTTGATATTTTTCCCTAATATATTACAATATAAGTCAATAGAATGGATGTTGTCGGCCCACGGGCAAACTGCCACAGTGTTAGTCCATGGCCCAAATTGAATCTGGGTCGATCTGACGGTCACGATCTTATTTCATATTTTTATTTTTTTCTACAAATCTAAATCACTTAAATATTTAAATTTATACTCTACTCATCAATGTGCACCTAATAAAAATATAAAAAAATAATTCGTAAAATAAAAATTGACCAAAATACCGCCATAAAGTTTCAGGAGTATTTTAATTAATATATATATTTTAATTAATTTTAATATTTTTATAAGATTATACTATTTTTTAAAAATAAACGCTCAAAATTTAAAGTGATTTGGATTTGTATAAAAAAATGAAAAATTCAAATATGAAATAAAGTTGTGACCATTAGATTGGCCTCGAGGTTCAATCTGGGTTGTTGGCTTATATTATAAATGTCAGGGCGTGGGACATAATCTTTTTCCTATTTATATATGGTCTGGGCCATTGGCTGACATTGTAGATGTCAGCCTGTGGGCTGATAGGATCTTTTTTTTATATAGGCGTTAGGAAAACTCTTCCCAACGCATATAGGCGAAAATAGACATTGATTTTACATACCTTCATCATCATCTAAACTTCATCACACGATCGCATTTGTCCGGTAGTGTTTCAATTTTCATTTTTTTTATACAAATCAAAATTATTTTAAATTTGGAACGTGTATACATCTTAATGAGACGCATCTTATAAATATATGAAACAAATAATTCGTAAAATATAAATTGACAAAAATACTCTGAAAATTTACAGAGGTATTTTGGTCAATTTATAGTTTACAATTTGTTTTTTTTTTCATATTTTTATTAAGTGTGTTTCACTAAGATGTACACACGCTTCAAATTTTAAATCATTCTGATAAGTAAAAAAATAAATATGAAAATCGAAATACTATCAGACAATTATGACCGTGCAATGAAGTTTGAATAGTGATGAGGGTAGACGAAATCACTGTTCATTTTTTCCTATAAGCATATTTTGTAATATTTTATATATATATATATATATATATATATATAT